GAACGCTGGGAATGCTTCATAAGGCCTTGGGAATACTGGGAATACTGGGAAGGATCCAGAGCATTGGATACTGGGAAAGCTCTCCCGGAATACTGGGAACGCTGGGAATGCTTCATAAGGCCTTGGGAATACTGGGAATACTGGGAATGATCCAGAACGTCGGATACTGGGAAAGCTCTCCCCCAACGCTGGGAATACTGGGAACACTGGGAATGCTTCCCAAGGCCTTGGGAATACTGGGAACGATCCAGAACATCAGACGCTGGGAATACTGGGAATGATCCCCACCACTGGGAAGGCTTCCCAGTGCCAGGAATACCGGGGAATGCTCCGGAACGCTGGGAATACTCCCCGGTACTGGGAATACTGGGAATGCTCCCCAGTGGCAGGAACATCAGGAATACTGGGAATGGTCTCCGATGGAACGCTGGGAATACTGGGAATGCTCCCCAGTGCTGGGAATACCGGGAATGCTCCCCAATACCAAGAACACCAGGAATACTGGGAATGCTCTCCGATGAACACCGGGAATACTGGGAATGCTCCCCAGTGCTGGGAATACTGGGAATTCTCCCTAATGCTGGGAACCCTCCAGAACACTAGGAATACTGGGAATGCTCCGGAATGCTGGGATTGCTTCCCAAGACTGGGAATACTGGGAACACTCCCCATGGCTGGGAACACCGGGAATGCTCCAGAACATCAGGAATGCTCCGGAATGCTGGGATTGCTCCCCGAGACTGGGAATGCTCCCCGGTACTGGGAATACTGGGAATTCTCCCTAATGCTGGGAATGCTCCAGAACACCAGGAATACTGGGAACGCTCCAGAACATCGAGAATGCTCCGGAATGCTGGGATTGCTCCCCGAGACTGGGAATACTGGGAATGCTCTGGGAACACCAGGAACACTGGGAATATGCTCCCCAGTACTGGGAACACTGGGAACACCGGGAATGTTCCAGGAACACCAGGAATGCTCCAGAACACTAGGAATACTGGGAATGCTCCGGAATGCTGGGATTGCTCCCCGAGACTGGGAATACTGGGAACACCGGGAATACTGGTAATGCCCCCAAAACACCGGGAATGCTCCCCCCTTCCCCCCCCCCCTTCCGGACTCCTAATGAGCGGCTCCGCCTCGTTAACGACTTCAGACACTAATTAACCCTCCCCCTCCCCCAGGGGCTGGCTGGGGGCATCCGGAGGGTTCTGGGGTCAATAAACCTCTTTATGGTCACCCCATATTGCCCAGTTGTGCCTGTTTTACACCCAAAAGTAGGATGGGGCCCCCCGAGATGGGGGGCTCGGCCCCATAGGTGGGATCTAGCACCGCCCCTGCCCCATGGATGGGGGATCAACCCCACACCAGCCCCATAGATGGGGGGTTCAGCCCCATGGTTGGGGGCTCAGCACCACTCCAGCCCCACAGATGGGGGACTCAGGACCTCCCCAGCCCCACAGATAGGGGCTCAGCCCCACCTCAGCCCCATATATGGGGGGCTCAGCCCCATGGATGGGGGCTCAGCACCACCTCAGCCCCATAGATCGGGGGTTCAGCCCCATGGATGGGGGCTCAGCACCACCCCAGCCCCACAGATGGGGGGCTCAGGACCTCTCCAGCCCCATAGATGGGGGGCTCAGCCCCACCTCAGCCCCATATATGGGGGGCTCAGCCCCATGGTTGGGGTCTCAACGCCACCCCAGCCCCATAGATGGGGGGCTCAGGACCTCTCCAGCCCCATAGATGGGGCTCAACCCCACCTCAGCCCCATAAATGGGGGGTTCAGCCCCATGGATGGGGGCTCAGCACCACCCCAGCCCCACAGATGGGGGGCTCAGGACCTCTCCAGCCCCATAGATGGGGGGCTCAGCCCCATGGTTGGAGTCTCAACCCCACCCCAGCCCCATAGATGGGGGGCTCAGACCCTCTCCAGCCCCACAGATTGGGGCTCAACCCCACCTCAGCCCCATAGATGGGGGGCTCACGCTGAGAATACTGGGAACACTGGGAATGCTTCCCAAGACCTTGGGAATACTGGGAATGATCCAGAACATCGGATACTGGGAAAGCTCTCCCCAAACGCTGGGAATACTGGGAACACTGGGAATGATCCAGAACATTGGATACTGGGAATGCTGGGAATGATCCAGAACATCGGATACTGGGAAAGCTCTCCCCAAACGCTGGGAATACTGGGAACATTGGGAATGCTTCCCAAGGTCTTGGGAATACCAGGAACGATCCAGAACATCGGATGCTGGGAATACTGGGAATGATCCCCACCACTGGGAAGGCTTCCCAGTGCCAGGAATACCGGGGAATGCTCCGGAATGCTGGGAATACTCCCCAGTACTGGGAATACTGGGAATGCTCCCCAGTGGCAGGAACATCAGGAATACTGGGGGTGGGATCTAGCACCGCCCCTGCCCCATGGATGGGGGATCAACCCCACACCAGCCCCATAGATGGGGGGTTCAGCCCCATGGTTGGGGGCTCAGCACCACTCCAGCCCCACAGATGGGGGACTCAGGACCTCCCCAGCCCCACAGATAGGGGCTCAGCCCCACCTCAGCCCCATATATGGGGGGCTCAGCCCCATGGTTGGGGTCTCAACGTGGTCACCCCATATTGCCCAGTTGTGCCTGTTTTACACCCAAAAGTAGGATGGGGCCCCCCGAGATGGGGGGCTCGGCCCCATAGGTGGGATCTAGCACCGCCCCTGCCCCATGGATGGGGGATCAACCCCACACCAGCCCCATAAATGGGGGGTTCAGCCCCATGGTTGGGGGCTCAGCACCACTCCAGCCCCACAGATGGGGGGCTCAGGACCTCCCCAGCCCCATGGATGGGGCTCAACCCCACCTCAGCCCCGTAAATGGGGGGTTCAGCCCCATGGATGGGGGCTCAGCCCCACCTCAGCCCCATAGATCGGGGGTTCAGCCCCATGGATGGGGGCTCAGCACCACCCCAGCCCCACAGATGGGGGGCTCAGGACCTCTCCAGCCCCATAGATGGGGGGCTCAGCCCCATGGTTGGAGTCTCAACCCCACCCCAGCCCCATAGATGGGGGGCTCAGACCCTCTCCAGCCCCACAGATTGGGGCTCAACCCCACCTCAGCCCCATAGATGGGGGGCTCAGCCCCATGGATGGGGGCTCAGCACCACCTCAGCCCCATAGATCGGGGGTTCAGCCCCATGGATGGGGGCTCAGCACCACCCCAGCCCCACAGATGGGGGGCTCAGGACCTCTCCAGCCCCATAGATGGGGGGCTCAGCCCCACCTCAGCCCCATATATGGGGGGCTCAGCCCCATGGTTGGGGTCTCAACGCCACCCCAGCCCCATAGATGGGGGGCTCAGGACCTCTCCAGCCCCATAGATGGGGCTCAACCCCACCTCAGCCCCATAAATGGGGGGTTCAGCCCCATGGATGGGGGCTCAGCACCACCTCAGCCCCATAGATCGGGGGTTCAGCCCCATGGATGGGGGCTCAGCACCACCCCAGCCCCACAGATGGGGGGCTCAGGACCTCTCCAGCCCCATAGATGGGGGGCTCAGCCCCATGGTTGGAGTCTCAACCCCACCCCAGCCCCATAGATGGGGGGCTCAGACCCTCTCCAGCCCCACAGATTGGGGCTCAACCCCACCTCAGCCCCATAGATGGGGGGCTCAGCCCCATGGATGGGGGCTCAGCACCACCTCAGCCCCATAGATCGGGGGTTCAGCCCCATGGATGGGGGCTCAGCACCACCCCAGCCCCACAGATGGGGGGCTCAGGACCTCTCCAGCCCCATAGATGGGGGGCTCAGCCCCATGGTTGGAGTCTCAACCCCACCCCAGCCCCATAGATGGGGGGCTCAGACCCTCTCCAGCCCCACAGATTGGGGCTCAACCCCACCTCAGCCCCATAGATGGGGGGCTCAGCCCCATGGTTGGGGGCTCAACCCCACCCCAGCCCCATAGATGGGGGGCTCAGGACCTCTCCAGCCCCATAGATGGGGCTCAGCCCCGTAGATGGGGGGCTCAGCCCCATGGATGGGGGCTCAGCCCTACCCCAGCCCCATAGATGTGGGGCTCAGGACCTCCCCAGACCCATGGATGGGGCCTGAACCCCACTCCAGCCCCACAAATGGAGGGGCTCAGAACCGCTCCAGCCCCACAGATAGGGGCTCGACCCCACCTCAGCCCCATAGATGGGAGGCTCAGACCCTCTTCAGCCCCATAGATGGGGGCTCAAACCCGCCTCAGCCCCATGGATGGGGGGCTCAGCCCCATGGTTGGGGGCTCAACCCCACCCCAGCCCCATAGATGGGGTCTCAGCCCCATAGATGGGGACACAGCCCCATGGTTGGGGGCTCAACACCACCCCAGCCCCGTAGATGGGGGGCTCAGGACCTCCCCAGCCCTATGGATGGGAGTCTCAACCCCACCCCAGCCCCATAGATGGGGGTCTCAGGACCTCCCCAGCCCCATGGATGGGACCTGAACCCCACTCCAGCCCCACAAATGGAGGGGCTCAGAATCTCTCCAGCCCCACAGATGGGGCTCAGCCCCACCTCAGCCCCATAGATGGGGACACAGCCCCATGGTTGGGGGCTCAACCCCACCCCAGCCCCATAGATGGGGGGCTCAGGACCTCCCCAGCCCCACAGATGGGGGCTCAAACCCACCTCACCCCCATAGATGGGGGGCTCAGCCCCATCCCAGCCCCATAGATGGGGGGTGAGGCAGGCTCAGGACCACCCCATCCCCACGGATAGAGAAGACATCACCCCACCTCCTTGCCCCACCACCACTTGTGGGTCCCGAGCGGGACAAGGAGGCAAAGGGGGTCCCACACAGGCCTTGCCGTGGGGCCGAGCCCCCCATAATGACCTCCCCCCATATCCCCCCCCACCGTGGGGCCGCCGAGGGAGGCGCAGTGGGGCTGGGCGTTGCGTTGAGAGCGCGGCGGTGGGTTTATTGTCCCACCCCCACCTACATCCTAGGCTGGCCAAGGGGGTGGCCCCCGGACCCCCAAGGTGTCCCCAGCCCCATAGCGGGGACACCCCGGGGTGAGGGGAGGTGGGGAGGTGAGGAATCCAGGGGGTGGCGTGGGGCTGGTGGCTCCTCAACTGGGGCTGACCTGGCTGGAGGAGACGGAGGAGACCTCTGTCCTCTGGGCCGAGCTGGAGATGTCCGAGTCGTCCGTCATGGGCTTCCCACAGACGGTCTCCATGATGCAGGCCCGGAACTGGGGGGACAAGGACACGGCCACCTCAGCCCCACAACCCCCCCAAGATGTCCCCTCTACCCAACCAACCTTGGCCACCTTCTGCCCAACCAGCCCCGTCACCTTCTACCCAACCAGCCCTGGCACCTTCTGCCCAACCAGCCCTGGCACCTTCTGCCCAACCAGCCCTGGCACCTTCTGCCCAACCAGCCCTGGCACCTTCTGCCCAACCAGCCCTGGCACCTTCTGCCCAACCAGCCCTGGCACCTTCTGCCCAACCAGCCCTGGCACCTTCTGCCCAACCAGCCCTGGCACCTTCTGCCCAACCAGCCCTGGCACCTTCTGCCCAACCAGCCCTGGCACCTTCTGCCCAACCAGCCCTGGCACCTTCTGCCCAACCAGCCCTGGCACCTTCTGCCCAACCAGCCCTGGCACCTTCTGCCCAACCAGCCCTGGCACCTTCTGCCCAACCAGCCCTGGCACCTTCTGCCCAACCAGCCCTGGCACCTTCTGCCCAACCAGCCCTGGCACCTTCTGCCCAACCAGCCCTGGCACCTTCTGCCCAACCAGCCCTGGCACCTTCTGCCCAACCAGCCCTGGCACCTTCTGCCCAACCAGCCCTGGCACCTTCTGCCCAACCAACCCTGGCCACCTTCTGCCCAACCAACCCTGGCCACCTTCTGCCCAACCAACCCTGCCACCTTCTGCCCAACCAGCCCCGTCACCTTCTACCCAACCAGCCTTGGCCACCTTCTACCCAACCAGTGGCCACCTTCTACCCAACCAGCCCTGGCCACCTTCTGCCCAACCAGCCCTGGCACCTTCTACCCAACCAGCCCTGCCCACCTTCTACTCAACCAGCCCTGGCCACCTTCTGCCCAACCAGCCCTGCCCACCTTCTACCCAACCAGCCCTGCCCACCTTCTGCCCAACCAGCCCCGGCACCTTCTGCCCAACCAACCGTGGTCACCTTCTACCCAACCAGCCCCATCACCTTCTACCCAACCAGCCTTGGCCACCTTCTACCCAACCAGTGGCCACCTTCTACCCAACCAGCCCTGGCCACCTTCTGCCCAACCAGCCCTGGCACCTTCTACCCAACCAACCTTGGCCACCTTCTACCCAACCAGCCTTGGCCACCTTCTGCCCAACCAGCCCTGGTCACCTTCTACCCAACCAGCCCCGTCACCTTTTACCACCTTCTGCCCAACCAACCTTGGCCACCTTCTACCCAACCAGCCCTGGCACCTTCTGCCCAACCAGCCCTGCCCACCTTCTACCCAACCAGCCTTGGCCACTTTCTACCCAACTAGCCTTGGCACCTTCTGCCCAACCAGCCCTGGCCACCTTCTACCCAACCAGCCCTGGCACCTTCTGCCCAACCCCGCGCTGCCACCTTGACCCCATCTCTTCGCCCTGGCCACGTGGTAGCCCCAAGTCTGGAGATGGTTCTGGGCACATCCAGGTGTCCCCAAGTGTCCCCCAGGTGTCCTGGTCTCTAGATGTCCCCTCACCCCCTTGTCCTCCATCCCCAGGTGTTCCTGGTCCCCACTTTGTGGTCATCCCTGGTTCCTGGATGTGCCCAGGTGTCCTCAGGTGTCCCAGTCCCTGGATGTCCCCTGATGTCCCCTCATACCCCGTTGTCCCCAATTCCCAGGTGTCCCCATCCCCAGCATCTCCAGGTGTCCCTGGTCCCCACTCCATGGTCGCTCGTGGTTCCTGGATGTGCCCAGGTGTCCCCAAGTGTCCCTGGATGTGCCCAGGTGTCCCAATCCCTGGTGTCCCATCATACCCTGTTGTCCCCCATCCTCAGGTGTCCCCATCCCCAGCATCTCCAGGTGTCCCTGGTCCCCACTCCATGGTCATCCCTGGTTCCTGGACATGCCCAGGTGTCCCCAGGTGTCCCAGTCCCTGGGTGTCCCTCATCCCCAGGTGTCCCTGGTCCCCACTCCATGGTCATCCCTGGTCCCCAGGCATCCCTGGATGATTCTGGTCCCCAAGTGTCCCCAGGTGTCCTTGGTCCCCAGATGTCCTTGAGCACCCCTGGGTGTCACTGGTGTCTGGGTGCTCCTTGTTGTCCCAAATCTCCAGGTGTCCTCATCCCCTGGTGTCCCTCATCTCCAGATGTCCCCAGGCCATCGGCACCCTTAGTGTCCCCAGTGTCCCCAGTCCATGGTCATCCCTGGTCGCTGGGCACCCCTGGATGTCCCCGAGTGTCCCCAGATGTCCTTGGGCACCTTGGGTTGTCCCCATTGCCAAGGTGTCCCTTGATGTCCCTGTTGCCCAAGTGTCCATGGATGACCCTGGTCCCCAGATGTCCTTGGGTGCCCTGGGGTGTCCCCATCTCCCAAGTGTCCCTTGATGTCTCCATTCCCCAGGTGTCCCTTGATGTCCTCTTTGACTGGGTGTCCCCAGGATGTCCCGGTGTCCCTGGGTGTCCTCAGTGCCCGGGTGTCCTGGGATGTCCCCATTGCCCAGATGTCCCCGGGTGTCCTTGGTCCCCAGATGTCCTTGAGCCCCCCTGAGTGTCCCTGGTGTCTGGGTGCTCCTGGGTGTCCTTGTCCCCAGGTGTCCCTGGTCTCTGCATGTCCCCGGTCCCTTGGCATCCCTGGTGCCCAGTCCCTGGTCCGTGGTCATCCCTGGTCCCCGGGCACCCCTGGATGACCCTGGTCCCCAAGTGTCCCTGGACATCCTTGGTCCCCCAGGTGTCCTTGGACACCCCTGGATGTCCCCATTGTCCCAGTGTCTCTGGATGTCCCTGTTGCTCCAAGGTCTTCAGATGTCCCCATCACCCAGGTGTCCCTGGGATATCCCCATTGTCTGGGTGTCCCAGGATGTCCCCATCACCCAGGTGTCCATGGATGTCCCCATCCCCCAGGTGTCCTGGGGTGTCCCCATCACCCAGGTGTCCCTGGATACCCCCATCACCTGGTGTCCCCATCACCCAGATGTTCTCAGGATGTCCCCATCACCCAGGTATCCTAGGATGTCCCCATCACCGGGGTGTCCCTGGGTGTCACCATCACTCAGGTGTCCCTGGGGTGTCCTCATCGCCCAGATGTCCTCAGAATGTCCCCATCACTCATGTGTTCCAGGGTGTCCCCATCACCCAGATGTTCTCAGGATGTCCCCATTGCCCAGGTGGGGGGTTTCCTCATCACCCAGGTGTCCCTGGATGTCCCCATGGCCCAGGTGTCCCTGGGTTTCCTCATCACCCAGATGTTCTCAAGATGTCCCCATGGCCCATGTGTCCCTGGGTTTCCTCATCACCCATGTGTCCCTGGATGTCCCCATGGCCCAGGTGTCCCAGGGTGTCCCCATGCCCATGAGTCCTCATCACTCAGATGTCCCTGGATGTCCCCATGGCCCAGATGTCCCTGGATGTCCCCATGGCCCAGGTGTCCCTGGGTGTCCCCATCACCCATGTGTCCCTGGGTTTCCTCATCACCCAGGTGTCCCAGGATGTCCCCATGGCCCATGTGTCCCTGGGTTTCCTCATCACCCAGGTGTCCCTGGATGTCCCCATGGCCCAGGTGTCCATGGATGTCCCCTTGGCCCATGTGTCCTTGGGTTTCCTCATCACCCATGTGTCCCTAGATGTCCCCATGGCCCATGTGTCCCTGGGTTTCCTCATCACCCAGATGTTCTCAAGATGTCCCCATGGCCCAGATGTTCTCAGGATGTCCCCATCACCCGGGTGTCCCCATGGCCCAGGTGTCCCTGGGTTTCCTCATCACCCAGGTGTCCCTGGATGTCCCCATGGCCCAGATGTCCCTGGGTGTCCCCATGGCCCATGTGTCCTTGGGTTTCCTCATCACCCAGGTGTCCCTGGATGTCCCCATGGCCCAGGTGTCCATGGATGTCCCCTTGGCCCATGTGTCCTTGGGTTTCCTCATCACCCAGGTGTCCCTGGATGTCCCCATGGCCCATGTGTCCCTAGATGTCCCCATCACCCCATCACACTCCCGGGGTGTCCCCACAGCCTGGGTGTCCCTGGCGTCCCCGGGGGGCACCTGTTTGTTCATGAAGCAGTAGATGATGGGGTTGTAGACGCAGGCGCTCTTGGAGAAGAAGGCAGGGATGGTGACCAGGCGCAGGTCCAGGCCGTGGTCCCGGTTGTTCACCATGTACATGGCCAGGGCGGCGTAGGGCACGTAGCAGAGGCAGAAGGAGCCCACCATCACCACCACCATGCGGGACACCTCCCGCTCCGCCTTCTGCGTCGTGGCCGACTCCTGCTGCTGCGCGGCCACCTGCGCCCACAGACGGGGGTCAGGGTCCTGCCCCGGACCCCGGCCAGGCCTCCTGCCCTCTGGTCTCTGTCCTTCTGTCCTCCTGCTTCTGTCCTTCTCTCTGAGCAGCCCTTCTGACCTCCATCCCTCCATCCCTCCATTCCTTCATCCCTCCATCCCTCCATCCCTCCATCCCTCCATTCATCCGTCCATCTCCCCATCCATTCCTCCTTCCATCCCTCCATCCATCCATCCATCCATCCCTCCATCCATCCATCCCTCCATCCATCCATCCCTCCATCCATCCATCTCCCCTCCATCCCTCCATCCATCTCTCCATCCCTCCATCCCTCCATCCCTCCATCTCTCCATCCCTCCATCCCTCCATCCCTCCATCCCTCCATCTTTCCATCCCTCCATCTTTCCATCCCTCCATCCCTCCGTCCACCTCCATCTCCCCATCCATCCATCCATCTCTCCATCCCTCCCCATCCCTCCATTCCTTCATCCCTCCATCCCTCCATCCCTCCATCCACCTCCATCTCCCCATCCATCCATCCATCTCTCCATCCCTCCCCATCCCTCCATCCATCCCTCCATCCATCCATCCATCCATCCATCCATCCATCCATCCATCCATTTCCCCATCTCCACATCCATCCCTCCCTCCCTCCATGTCTCCATCCCCCTTTCCATCCATCCCTCCATCCATCCCTCCATCTCCCCATCCCTCCCTCCATCCCTCCATCCCTCCCTCCATCCATCCATCCCTCCATCCATCCCTCCATCCATGTCTCCTTCCCCCTTTCCATCCACCTCCATCTCCATCCATCCATCCCTCCATCCCTCCATCTTCCCCTCCCTCCATCCATCTCCCCATCCATCCCTCCATCCCTCCATCCATCCGTCCATCTCCCCATCCATCTCCCCTTCCATCCATCCCTCCCTCCATCCCTCCATCCCTCCATCCATCTCCCCATCCATCCATCTCCCCATCCATCTCTCCATCCTTCCCTCCTTCCCTCCATCCATCCCTCTATCCATCTCCCCATCCATCCATCCCCTCCATCCCTCCATCCCTCCATCCCTCCAACTCTCCATCCCTCCAGCCAACCCCCCATTCCTCCAACTCCCCTCCCTTTCATCCCTCCTTCCCTCCATCCCTCCTTCTCTCTCTCCATCCCTCCTTCCCTCTATCCCTCCATCCTTCCCTCCACCCATCCATCCCTCCCTCCTTCCCTCTATCTCCCCATCCCTCCATCCATTCTTCATCCATCCATCCATCCATCCATCCATCCATCCATCCATCCATCCATCTCCCCATCCATACCTCTGTCCTTCCCTCCCTCCATCTCTCCATCCCTCCATCTCTCCATCCCTCCATCCCTCTATCCCTCCGTCCCTCCATCTCCCCATCTCCCCATCACTCCATCTCCCCATCCATCCATCCATCCATCCATCCATCCCTCCATCCATCCATCTCCCCATCTCCCCATCCCTCCCTCCCTCCATCCTTCCTTCCCTCCATCCATCCCTCCATCCATCTCCCCATCCATCCCTCCATCCCTCCATCCATCCCTCCATCTCTCCATCCTTCCATCCCTCCAGCCATCCCTCAATCCCACCCACCCTCCAACCCTTTGTCTCCCCAGCTCTCCATCCCTTCATCTCCACCTCCATCCCTCCATCCCTCCAACTCCCCTCCATCCCTCCATCCTTCCCTCCCTCCATCCCTCCCTCCATCTCCCCATCCATCCATCCCTCCATCCCCCTTTCCATCCACCTCCATCTCCATCCATCCATCCACCTCCATCTCCATCCATCCCTCCACCCATCTATCCATCCATCCATCCACCTCCATCTCCATCCATCCCTCCATCTCCCCATCCCTCCATCCATCCATCCATCCACCCATCCCTCCATCTCCCCATCCCTCCATCTCCCCATCCCTCCCTCCCTCCATCCCTCCATCCCTCCATCCCTCCAACTCCCCTCCATCCCTCCATCCTTCCCTCCCTCCATCCCTCCCTCCATCTCCCCATCCATCCATCCCTCCATCCCCCTTTCCATCCACCTCCATCTCCATCCATCCATCCACCTCCATCTCCATCCATCCCTCCACCCATCTATCCATCCATCCATCCACCTCCATCTCCATCCATCCCTCCATCTCCCCATCCCTCCATCCATCCATCCATCCACCCATCCCTCCATCTCCCCATCCCTCCATCTCCCCATCCCTCCCTCCCTCCATCCCTCCATCCCTCCATCCCTCCAACTCCCCTCCATCCCTCCATCCTTCCCTCCATCCATCCATCCATCCATCCATCCATCCATCCATCCATCCCTCCATCCCTCCATCCATCCATCTCCCCATCTCCCCATCCCTCCCTCCCTCCATCCTTCCTTCCCTCCATCCACCCCTCCATCCATCTCCCCATCCATCCCTCCATCCCTCCATCCATCCCTCCATCTCTCCATCCTTCCATCCCTCCAGCCATCCCTCAATCCCACCCACCCTCCAACCCTTTGTCTCCCCAGCTCTCCATCCCTTCATCTCCACCTCCATCCCTCCATCCCTCCAACTCCCCTCCATCCCTCCATCCTTCCCTCCCTCCATCCCTCCCTCCATCTCCCCATCCATCCATCCCTCCATCCCCCTTTCCATCCACCTCCATCTCCATCCATCCATCCACCTCCATCTCCATCCATCCCTCCACCCATCTATCCATCCATCCATCCATCCATCCATCCAGCTTTCCAGGTCTCTCCCCAGTTGTCCATGTATCCCTCCAGATGCCTGTCTCTCTCTTTCCAGATGTCCTTCCATGACTCCAGGAGTCCGTCTCTCCTAACCG